ACAAATACATTTCATTGTGTTCAATCCAATAAAGTGAAGTTAACTAGTGATGGGTCATCAGTTAATGATTTGTTTATTGTGTCTGCCATGTGACAAATTAATGCAAGTCTTGGGAGGTAAAGTAAGCATTTATGTTCCTTATATATTTGGCTGCACTATAATGCTTTCCTAATTTGGAATATGATCAAAATTGCATAGGTGGATTTGTTTGGGTAATTTGGCTGTTGAAAATATAACATTTAACAAATATTTTTTGTTACAAAAAATTTAACAAATATAGTTAAATTAACGAATTGACGAATAAAAATTTGTTCATTTTGAAGAAAGAGATCGAACGAGAGATTCAGTAAAATAATCCAATTTTACCATCACTAAAGTTAACAATCATTTTATGATTAAAAACACATAAAAAGTGGTATTTTGCGAAGAGAACGGCATAGTATCATGCCCACAAAAAAAGGTTGCATAGTACTGTGTGCACTACTGAGTTTAAGACAGACAAACATAAGTGCTAATGAACAATATATTACTACTGTTTCTCTTCTGTTGATGCACTGAGCAGCCATATTGGATTCTGAAGTTGGAGTTGTTGTGATTCCTCTGAGATTTCTAGTCCGAGTTGGGAGGGAGTTCCAGTTTAAAGTTCCTACTGGGAACTCGGAATTTCCAACTTCTGAGTACAATTGGAACGTGGCATTAAATACAAGACTATGGATAAATCACATGACAAAAACAACCACTGACAAAACAGAACTGCTAAACAAGATAAATGAACATGAACCAGTGAGAGAACAGAACTAACAGCAAGATAAAAAAAAAAGTTCTGTTTCAATTCAGATTTGGAACATTTATGACCTTTTACTCATATCTGACGTGACGTGACGTGACAGGTGGCCAAGTATGGTTACCCATACTAGGAATTAGTGCTCTGCATTTAACCCATCCAAAGTGCACAAACACAGCAGTGAACACACACACACCGTGAACACACACCCGGAGCAGTGGGCAGCCTTTTATGCTGCGGCGCCCAGGGATCAGTCGGGGGTTCGGTGCCTTGCTCAAGGGCACCTCAGTCGTGGTATTGAAGGTGGGAGAGAGCGCTGCACATTCACTCCCCCCACCTACAATCCCTGCCGGACCTGAGACTCGAACTCGCAACCTTTTGGGTTACGAGTCCGACTCTCCAACCATTAGGCCACGACTTCCCCATATCTGATTGTTTTGCAGTGGTTTATTGTATATTATGCTGAGCACCAGTCATCAGAGGTAGATCTGTCCTTTATTTGTCAGCAAGAGTTCTGCTGATCAGATGAAAAATACAATGCAGAATGGCATCAAGAGGTTGGAGCCTTGTGTAAAATGCCACTGCAGCTGAGTCGTCTGTGCTTTCACTAAATAAAGAATAGAAGCCCCATGGGACAACAAGAAATCTCTCTGTGTGTCTCTCTCTCACACCCCTATATTCAATTATTTTTCTCTCTTTCTTACATTATATTGCTAATGGCAAGCAAATATATATATATATATATATATATATATATATATATATATATAGTATAT